AGGAGGGTTGGACTAGATGACCCACAGAGGTCCCTTCCAACCACCACCATTCTGTGATTCTGTGACCTTCTCTGTCCCAGTCATCTTAAGGAACAGCCCTAAGACTACCTAAGCTCTGCATCAGAGCTTCCATCTTCTAGACTTTCAGCTTCGGAGTTTTGCTAACAAGTGGTGCTCTAGCTTCATGTTTTTTGTTATACAAACTAATTCATCTTGCTAACAAAAATTTGTGAAGCATTACTGTGTCACTCTCTCTTTGTACATATTCTCCAAATTAAGCATCAGAACACTTAGATACAGCATGGTTTTTTATAAGAAAATAGCCACTATACCTATCACAGAAAGTTTCCTACTGGAAGTCTTCAAAAACAGTCATTGCATAAGCTAAAGATGGGAAGAAACAGTCTAAGCACAGAAAAACGGAACGTAACAACGAACCCTAGATGGTATGCACAAACAAAATGGGGGAAAAAAGCAGGTCCTCAAAGAATTTATAAAGAAAAACACTCAAAAGAGAACAAGTAAATCTCAGTCATTCTTAAAGTTAACCATTAAAATCACCTAAAACCACAGACAGTCATTCTTAAAGCTAACCATTAAAACCACCTAAAACCACAGACAGTCATTCTTAAAGCTAACCATTAAAACCACCTAAAAACACAAAGTCTAATGGAGTTACGCATAAACGTATCTTCTGACATAACACAAACTTGCATGGAAAACAAACCCTACCTGAGAAAGGTACATCTCTCAGAATAGTAGAACTCCAGCCTCTCCACAGGGAAAACCACCCATCTGTAGCCACTTTACTGCTGACACGTGCAGAGTTGCTTGTAGGACAACTTGCGATACTGCATTCTAGTTCTGATCAGCTCCAGGGGGCTCACCATGGTAACTGCAGCTACTGCAAATGAGAACAACGTGGGCTTTTTTTTTAAATCAACATTTACTAGTAATATTTCCTGAACATTAAAGTCAGGTCTCACCTTGCTTTATATATTTTATTCCTTTCAACTCTCCCATTTTCCCTGAAATAATTCCCCAACTAAATTTCCTCTTCCAGTAAGAATACCGTATCTATTCACAGTACCTAAACTTTCAGGCCACACAAGCTACCTACCTTTCTTCAGTACTGGCATGTTGTAATCCACGTAACGTGTTAAGAATCCTAATTTTCAGATTTATTACATACATACACTGAAAATTTCAAGTACTTATAAAGTTTTCATTTTCAATACTTGCCATTTTAAAGTGTAACTTGAGGAAAGTGAGCTTGGGGTTTAGGGGTTTTTTGTTAAGGACAAAAGTGATGGTTAGAGATTAAGCTCTTATTGGTTTCTAACCATCTTTGCCGTTCTTATTTTAAACTATCAAGAATATTTAGCAAGCAATCTGTATCTGATAAAGTAAGTTGCTTGCATCTGGTGCAAAGATCAGTGAGTCACCACTCACTAACAAGCTCCCATCACACACTTAACAAGACTTCAGTAATTTTACTAGATCTAAGAACTTTTCTTCTGTGCTGGGATAAGGTTTCTTTGACATGTGAATTTAAAATCTGGAGCCACCTCATAAGAACAATATGCCACATCACCACAGAATAACAATTATTTTTCCACTAATCTTCCAGTCCACCCATAGTTGTCACAAGAAGAATATGGAACTACATCTTCAGAGTCTTCTAAGAAAGCCTAAAAATATATGACCTGAGCTACTTCTACAAAAATAGATGAGGAAAAAGATAAACAAAAGTAAGAAAATATAAAAACAAATTCAGTCCCCTTTACATCATATGGCAGTAAAACCAGTACAAGTCCCATTTTCATTTTCCTTGTAATTACCTATGTAGCTTCCATTATAGAAAATAATGATGTTTATTATTAGATTCGTGGCAGAATAGACTTAAATTACACTGTCCTTGGTAGAATTCTAGAAATACAAAATTTTGAACAAATTACAAACATAGTGAAAATGTCAACAGCGAAAATAAATCACATTATTCCAGGTTAGAGGGTTTTGTTGCCCAAGAAATACTGGGTAGTTACAGTACTACTTCCTACACCCAGCTCTGTGTGAGATTATCCCTCATTTAAAGCCACAGCAAATTTACTTTAAAAACAAAACAAAACCCAGAAAACAGCATACAGGTATTTTATTTCAGTTTTCTCTTTAAACGGATGAGAACTTACATCTGCTTAAGGAACCTGCAAGAACTGCAATGTGTTCATCGTCCTTTCCCAGTCTAGATTTCAGAGCTTCACTCAGTTGGTCACAGCAGGTGAAATAGATTACAGTGGTAGGAAGTGCCATTATTCTTAAATAAAAGTGAGGGAATCTAAATTAATACAAGCAGGAGCATGAAGTCAATGATCTTGTAACGATATTTTGCTTAAATAAGGAAACGTTAAATCTCCAGCTGTGTGCTATGGATGAAGAAAAAGCATTAATCCCACAGCTTTGATTCACTGCCTCTAGTTCAGAGTTTCAAATCCACAGACTTCCCAGTTTTCTAGTTTTTACTTTCATTATGAAAAACTATAAGTAAAATGATGATGGATTATCTCAGTGAAAAATTATTTCATAGCAGCTTCAAAACTATTTTCATAAAGGAATGGAATTGAAAGATCTGAATATGAAGCAACCAAACAAAACATTACAGAAGTAGCTACTAACCTTGAATTTTTATTCATGTAAAAATTGGGAGTATTTTCTCTATCTTAATCAACATTTACAATTCTCACTACTTGAAAGACAATGTGGGATGAGTAAATATAAGCTCTTTCCATTTGAGCATCATACAGACTACAATAACAACAGCTAGATCTTATAATCATTCAGTAGCGGGGTAAAGCACCACATCTTACTATAAAATGGCAATTATATTTCTGTGTTACATCTGTACCAATAGAGCACGTACCACCACTACCAAAAAACAGTGAAGATTGTCATGCTTGGAAAACCAACAAGCCACAGTTTAGATCTTCTTTTAAAAACTGTGTACATCTCTCCAATCAAGAAGTTTGTTCTTCTCTGCTGGAGTACAGAACACAACGTTGAAGCAAAAACTGTCTTGGCTGAAATACAGAACTCTTAGTTCAGTTAGGTCCTAAAGTCTTATATATTGAAATTGCCACATGCTGCGGGATAAATAACGAGGCCTGAGCTCCACCAGGCTTTGCTTTTTCATGCCTATATACTGAGCGCTGTGTGCAGATAAAAAGTGTACCCGTGCTTTCTCACTGGGCAACACTTTGTGTCTTACAAGACACAACTTCAATACACATTAGATCTGACCACTTTCTTGTATTGTTTATGGATGAGAACATAATTGTAGAGGTCTTAATTACTACCTGTACCAAGTTAACACGTATAAAAAGACAAAACGCTTTGGTGCTCTTTAGCCTGAAGAAAAGACCAGGAGGAGATCAGATAGCAGTGTTTAAATACATCAGTTGCTCTTGCAGAGAGAAAATGAATTATCTGTTTTCCATTATAATGTTGGATAGGATAAAAACCAACAAAGTTCTTTGGAATAAAGAAGATTCTAGTTAGATGTCTTTAAAAAATTTAAGTATGGGTAATGAGGTGCAACACTGGAGTGTCTGTGAAAAAAACTGTGTTGCTTATTGCAAGTCATTAGTAACAAGCAAATACCTGTCAAAGCCTAGCATTCTCTAACAGCCATTTTTGATCCTATGATTCGATGATGCTATCAAGGGGCCGGTTACAGAAAGGATACCATCTCTAAAAAGCAGAATGAAAAGTCTGATGTTTCTGTTTAACTACTGAGAATATATTGAAGAAGTTGCAAGGAGAAATCTCAAGATCTACCAAAAATTATACTGTTGCTAGGTGTTTCTGATCAAACTGATTACATCATTATCTGTAACTTCAGAATTAACCAAATTTTTAAAATCACTTAGAAATAAACATACTAATTTGTCTAAATAATGAAGTAATTTTTTTTAATGATAATTGGTAACATGACCAAAAGAAGAACGTTCAGCTTACAGTGTTGGGGGAAGTCCACTCCACAGCGATTTAATTCCCTCTACTTGAATAATCTTCACAAATGCGTCCTAAAAATACAACCAGGCAAAAAGCAATAAAAAGCTACAAACTTTTGCACTCAGCAATATATTTTAGCTGGCAAAACACAAAATTAGCATGTTAAAAAGTGTATTTCTAAAGTGGCTTATCATTGTAAGATCCCAGTTTTGTAATTGCTAACACTAGCTATCATATTTAATCACACAAATAGTTCCACTGAGCTGAAGGGAAATATTTGTGTGATTAAAATTAAGAATTTCCTTCCATTTTTAAAAGACCAAAGTAGTAAGTTTTTATCAGTAACTGACAGCCCTGTGAATAAGTTATTTTCAGAACTAATACATCACAGCAGCAACTTGTGGAAACTTCCCCAAAATAATCCACTAATATATTTTTTTAATACATAACAAAAGTTCTAGGCATGAAATAGCAATTAACTCTCAATGATTCTTCAATACTTGCTTTCTCTGACAATGTCACCACATATATGCAATGTGTATACACTATGCTGTATGCTTGCAAGCTTACAATTAATAACACAGCTGTCCCATTTATTTCCCAGACCACTGACAGCAAAGGAACACTAAACCTTGAAGGTCATTCAACTGAAATCACCACCAAAAAGACAAACTCCCTAATATTAGGATACCTAATGCTCTTAAACATTAGGGGGAAGAGGCTGAGATTTGAAGGGTTAGAACATGCCTGAAACCAGACAGTATCACAGGACCTCAAAAGATACAGCACCAGACAGATCACAAAAAGAACTCACAGGAAGAAAAAGCCAAATAGCTTTACAGGAGACAGCCTTGATGGACAGATCCACTGAGGTAAAAAGTTGCATGGGGAAAACAAAGACATGATTTATTAAAACAAGCCTGACTTGAAAAAAACGGAATTTTGAGAGGGAGTCAAGAAACCCTAAAAGGTCCTAACATGATTTGACAAAAAAAGACGCTTAAGAGGAAAAAAAAAAAAGACAGAAAATGGCATACCAGTATTTTATGTTTTCTCCAAATATATTCTGTACTAGTTAGTTTATATGTTTAGGATCCAGCTTCAATAAATTTACAGTACAGGAAGGTATAGGTAAAAGACTGGAGAAAGGGCATAACTAAATCCAGTGACTGAGCAGCATATTAATATACTATAATAACTATATGGGCAAATACAGCAAAATATTTGTACAGTCCTATCACTGGAAGCCTACTATGTCCACTGCAATTTTCTTTGCTGCACAATTGCCCAGCACTGTTTCATTTTTTTTTTTTTAAATAAAGCAGATCAAATGATGAGATAGTCATTCTTCTTTATGAATCACCTTGTCACAGTAAAAATACACATAAATTCATGTAAATTAGAATACTAGGCGACTTTCTAAAAATTATTTAGTAAAGTTGATTGAAAAATTCAAACTGATGAAGTTACTTTAAAAAAAAATAACACTTTAAAACCGCTCAAGAAACATTTTGCATGAACTTTTTCTTCTTCTCAGAAATTTAATTCTGAAAAATCCCTGATCACATGTGTAATTCAATGACATAGTCAAACAAAATCTTGATTAATGAAGCAGCATCACAGTGTCCGACAGCAAGTCTGCTTCAAGTGCCTGGGTAAAATGGTAGTCCTACAAGTTTCAATGGATCCAGAACTTGACACAAGAACTTAACTTTAAAACACTATCTGCATTGTTAATTCAGCTCAGGAGCCTACTGGGAGATCTGTGGACAGAAGCGCTGTGTAAGCAGGTACAGAAAATCAGTACCTGCAATCAGCAACTTTTGGCAACATAGCTCAAGCAGAGAAAATAAAATCATAGAGCCAGCATCCTGTGAGGAGAGCTGTGCAGCCGCCCCCCTGTTCGTCTTAAGGAAGGAATACGTATTTTCTTGTAGAAAGTAGAAGGTATCATTAATCACCACATAAATTACACAGGGTAACCACACTAACACCCTCTCAAATGACAACAGATTGTCCCAGAATTTGAAAAAAAAAAATTTACAGTATGCCACTTAGAAATATTTTCAGCTTAGTTTTATGTAAATGTAGAATGTTCTTACCAATGTCCCTTTGAAATGCCCAGGTTTTTTATACCATGCTTTGCTGTCCCCATTCTCACAAACACATATGTGATCCATAAGACCCCTGGAGTATACAAAACACTTTCCTAATAAAATGGTGTATAAGAATATAGTTAATGCTTGTAAGATTGTTCTTACTCAGAGGCAATTTCAAATTGGATAAAATGGCAACACAGATTTATCTCTAGTTCGACACAGAGGGGCAGAATAATCTTGGAAAGTCAGTGATGACAGATTCGGTAGAAGGAAAGAGGGAACAAATGTACTCCTCGGAGTGCCAGACTAAATGAAACTGCCCTCACAGGCTCTAGGAGACATGTATATGTTATACTACCATCCACTGAAGGCTAACAACAGCAACAGACCTGATTGTCACTATTGTAAGTAACTATGTGAACATCTTTCAGACTTCTAAATCTTTAAGTTGCCTCAGCATCCACATTACAAGTGGCGGTATTATGTCTTAGGTTAGACTGTATCATCCTCTGTACTTTATGATTTCTTCTACATCATGTGCTTTGAATATGTCTGATGAAATATCACTGCCGTTACAAAAACATACTTTGAGCTTCACATTTTCAGATTTCTGAAGAGTTCAGAATTTACTAACAAAACAGGATAGAAGGCACAAGTATTTTTCCTGATTTACAGCAAGCGTGACTGCATATATTTATCTCCACATACAATATGGAACACCCGTCATCTCCTTTCCTTTTAAATGTCATTTATTAATTACAAATAAATAGTAGGAATCATTGGTGTATCTTTGAGTGCACAATATCTTCATCTAATCAGAACCCAAGTGGAAAGTGACTTCGGTAAGACTTACTACTCTTTTTCAGAAGTCTCTGGTTTCTGGAGGAGATGAACTTTGATACAGCATTCTGATCACATAAGCCCTCTGATGAAATATTTAGTTATTTATTAATAGCTTTTTTTTTTTAACTCAGCTCAGTAATAGTTGTACCTTCTGCCACAATGAAAATACTAAGACAGAAAAAAGCCTGTTTAGAAAGGTTATGTATTTATGGGAGGGCTTTTTCCCCACTTAGGCTGAAGAAACAAACATAACTACTGCAAAACAAACAAAAACTTTCTGTAGCTCAGAGTTATGATAACTACCAGCTAAATACAACAGCAAAAAGCAAACTGTGTCCTCCATTACACTACACATTTATTTACCTTTGGAGAATGGATTGCTTTGGGCTTGCAGTCGAGTTTTTATAACGTCAAGAGGAGTTACTAAAATAAAACAGAAGTCATTTAGAAACACCCTGCATGCCCTGAAAACGTAGAAGTGTACAGATGCCTTACCATGAATTTCTATGACTTTTTTTCTTCCCAGAGAGAAAATAAGAGATCTGTTTTACAATGTACTCAGAGGAAAAAATGAGAACTACAAATCTTGTATAGTTTGCAAGTGACCATATGTATCTTTTCTAATTTACTAACCGTCTCAAATGCCAACACCCTACACTGTGCTAGGTGTTAGAAATTGATTATAAAGATTGATTATAGAATAAAATCATAGAACTAGAACGTAGATTCAGCTGTGTAAACACAGCTGTGTTAAGAAACCATACAATGTGTATGCGTGCAATTGGGATAGAAATTAATTGTATGGATTGTATCAAACAGAATTCACAAAAGAAGCCGAGACGACCCTGAAACCAAGCAAGGCCTGAAACCAGCGAGGGAGAATTCTACGAAGACAGAAGAATAGAAAGAACTTAATAAATGATGTACTTAAAGGAACGGAACGGTTGCTTAGAAACTTATGAAGATTCTAGACTTCATGTAATCGGTTTAATAAATGTATATAAACTGGTCTAGCAAGTTAAGCTTTGCCACTCACTGAAGTGATGGCCCTACTCTGAGTTGTGAATAAAGCAAAACCTAGTGTAACCCACTAGTGTGAGGATAAAATTTTTAACACTGGGATCTTATGTACACACAGTTGAAATCCATCTTGGGAATTCCACAGGCCTGATGTAGCTTTGCTTGCCACTTGACCTAACATCACCAGACACGTGGTATAAAGACGAAATAAAAAGACTATGAATTTGACAGGTGCCTTGTAAAATCCTATTTTGCAAAAATTTGGAAACTTTGGGGGGGAAAAATTTTCGTGCTTAGAAAATTGCGCATTTCCCTGCAGCATAATCAGTGTTAAAAGTCAGAACCAAAGGCTACCTTAAGCCAAAAAGTAACTGAAAGATAAAGTATAAGCTAATGAGCTTGGAGAACTCCAAGGGACGTGAAGTGCTGACTCTAACAGACCAATGCCTCCTTAGGTACGCATAGGGAAGGAGGTCCCGAGTGAGATGACTAAATATGAAGCAGAAGATGGATTCCACAGACTATCCAGAATTTTAAAAGACTAACAAAAAGCTATCCTTAAAAGCAATGCTTAGGGGGGAAAAAAAAACAATAAAAGGCTTTGACAGTGTAAGATATCACAGCAGAACAAATTAATGTTACTACTGAAGTGGTAACCTGAAGGGGACATGTCACTGGGGCCAGCCTTGCAGGATTTGTGTCTTGTACTGTAAAGAAGACTTTTATTTAAAATCTATTTGTAAGCAGCAGGAAGTATGGAATTTAATTTTTATTATTAATTTTGTTTCTTGCAGAAAGAAAGCAATTAATTACTATACCAAAAGGAAAAAAATATATAGAAATGAAAAGTTAATAAAAATTATTCTTATTTTCATAAATGTTTAAGGATTATCGGGGGTGGAAGATATTTCAATTAACCACACTTGTTAAAATACAAAAAATTATGAGAAAACTATCAAAAAAATCCTTGTTAAACATATCAGTTGAAATTTATAAACCACGTATATGCAGACACCGTGCAGAGTGAACCTGAAGAGTAGTCACGTTGCAAAGATTCTCTCTGTGGCAAGCTTGATAGTTTGCCTTATCAAATAATGATGTAATTATAGCTCCACAACAAGAGGCTATTGCTTGCTGAATAATGGTTGTTTTATCTAAGCCGCTATCACTCATTCCAGTCATGGCTTTATCCCTGGAGAAGAAAAACCTGTTAAGGAACAGAAAAGCGTATTGCAAGACTATGCTCAAAACTTGCAAAAAAATCAATGGAAAAAACGTGGTAAATTTTGATTAATACATTATGTATAAGCAGCAATAATGTAAATATTAGTCTTCTACTTGTATACAAGCATCTCCATAATTTTTTGAAATCAGAGTATTTGCACCATGTTTTTGTAAATAATCTAAGTTTCCTCAATGACAATAAATCTTCCAAATCCTACTTACATGAATTACAATGTTTAGATTTTTTTGTAAACCAAGATAAATATTTAATATGTTACCTGTTGCTGCAACAAAGGGTTTAGGAGTATGTAAATAATCTGTACAAAGATAAATTCCCAGCCTGTGGTCCATAAACTGTAGCACAGCAGAATAATTCATCTAGCCCTCCTCTTGTTTCCATCACTCCTGTGAGAAAACCCAGAGAGGTCTCCTGGCTGACCCAACAGGCACAGCCTACTAGTGGTGACTACATCCCCTGGCGAGCTCCTCATGCAATGAACAGTGACTAACTAGTATTAATGCTACCATTAAATATCAGTTCCTTGAAGAAATCCTGCTGTATGGCTGCATAAGCAAAGTTACAATACCTTAGGAATGTACTCACAGTATCTAAAAATAAGAAGCTTATATATTCCCAGTATCTGTAACTAGGCAGGACAGAAGGGGAAGAAAACAAAAGACAGGACACAAAATCCTAAATTAAGGTGCATCCTTTGAAATACATGTCAGGCATCAGCGCAGTCGTGACTTTATTCGTTTGCAGTGTTCTAAGCCTTTTATTTGATCTACAGGAACACTATGTTTTGCTATTTACACTAAGTTACACAGAAAAGATAACAAAGATTCAGCTGCGTAGAACAAGATTCACCTCTTCTGGTAACTACTACTAACCTGGGGGAGTTGCCTTTTTCAATACTTTCTAAAAACTTATTTGATAACAACTCTGCTTTCCAGAACAGCATATCCAATGCGTTTATAAGCAGCAACCAGGCTGTGACCTCCAGAGGCAAAGCCTTCTGCAATACGAACGCGGAGCATCCTCGGCCAGGCCCCAGCCGCTCATCACAGAGTCACAGGAGGGTCTGGGTGGGAAGGGACCTTTGAAGCTCGTCCAGTCCAGCCCCCACGGGTGCAAGGGGTTTCCACCACCCACACACTCCGCACTCCTGGACTTCCACAGAAACTGTGGAAACAGGGATTTTAAATCCCAATCTACGCAGCCTTCGTGACCCTCTTGTGCTTTGGTGCCGTGTGCGTGCTGAGGCAGAGAGCGAGGATCTCCGGTGCAACCGCCTCACGCTCCTCATGTGCGGCCCCCGGGCCTCTTTTACTTGGAGCCCGGCCCGTCACCGGCCGGGGCACCCCCGCACCTCACGAGGCAACAGCGCACTGCAGTGCAGTGCAGTGCAGTTTTCCCTTGGACA